CAGTCCTGCAACAAATGTTTCAGCCAAAATACGTTTAATTTAAGCAATCTCAAGTCCCACAGTGATACATAGATGCTTCATATACATTAGGTGGAAAATTTCATGCCATTTTGTCAGCCGTAAAGAACTATTACTCTGGCCTTCAGGTGCAGTAGTTGAACTCGCCCGGCTAAAGTAAACATGAGGGTCAAGTTCTTATCACGAAACAGCGAAGTTTTCAAAATCTACACCAAATACCGATCCTGTCTAGTATATACTTAGTCTGCTACACAGCCGTTTTTAGTGTCGTCACGTGATGACTCTAAAAACGGCTGTGTAGCAGACTAGTGTATACTGAGGTCTACAATTTGTTTGTTTGTACCTTGCGTCCGTGTTCGACTTCATTCCCACAATGAAACTGAGACATGAAAACTACAACGAAATTCCCGCTCGCTCGAAATGTCACGTGTCACGTGAAAGGGCCTTTTTAGACCTGATTGCGTTACGTAAACATGACACATAGCGATTATTGCTGAGTTGTGCAAAAAAATGCATTTCTAACTTACATGTTGTAGGTATGCTAGACAATCTCAATTTTTTTTCTTACCATGCAGTTTTACCGATCTCAGGCTTGTGATCCCCGAGTTTTCAGTGATCCCCAAAGTTTTCAGTGATCTCCCGTTTTTGGGTTCTCAGTCAAGACTGATCCCCCCCTTTCCTCTCCCACCCATACCCCGCTTAAAGTCAAATGGCCGGCCCCTAATTACATGTAGAAAATCCTACTACCGTCTGATATTATGCTTGCGACACCAATCTTTGATAGTGCACTCTCGGTCTAAGGTAGTACGTGTCTACTCGCAACTGCACGACGAGTGGAACACCGCTGGCAGGCTAGGTACGTTTATTGCGATATTGTAGTCACAAGGCAAGTAAACATTATGATAAAAAATTCCTATTATCTCCAACGCTGAAAAGGAATGGGGTTCAAAAGCGTGGTTTGCAAGCTAGAGCTATAAATGTATTACACTGTATATGCGTTTCTGGCTATTATTATTAATAATAATAATAATAACGTCTTTATTAAAAAGCATCCGATAAAATTACATATCTGATGTTACAGTAAAAATATATATCGATAGAAAAAAAAATTACAATGACAAGATGAATAAAAAAGATTAAATTGATTAAAAATACATATGGGGTATTTACACAGCTAGATTATATTTAAAAATTAATCTGTTAAAAAAGCTATCTTTGAAACGTTCAGTGTTAATGCTGGGCCTGACAACGGATATCCTTCGAAGGTTTGCAATACAGTCTTTGTACCTTGGGAGCAAGCTTTTTAGTGGATGGTCATCGCGTTTGAGGTTATAAAAAAGGCGTCTGTCGCTTTTCTCCAAAAGTTCATATATGTTGTAATTGACCGACGTATAACGCCTCTTATAACATCTTTTTAAAAACCTTTGTATAACAGTAAGTTCGGAAACACTTGCAGCATAAACTGAAAGACCGTATAATAACTTAGGGATCACAATTGAATTAAAGAGGTGGTCTATTTCATCTTGTGTATATCCTTCTTTCCGTAGGCTTCTGATGACAAATAAACACTTGTTGGCTTCATGGAGCTTGGCCTTGACATGCAAGCCAAACTTAAAATTACCTTGAATTGTGACGCCCAATAAAGAAATGTTATTATATTGTTTGATATTGTGAGACATTGGGTAGACTGTTGAATTGCCTCTCTTACGCATAATTAGCTCCTTACATTTACTAGTGTTACAATGCATGTCATTTGCAACAGTCCAATCCATAAACTTGGACAAGGCAATATCAGATATATCCGGGGAATCTTTAGTAATCGTTACTAAGACGGTTGAATCGTCTGCATATTTAAACAAGGATATATCTTTGTATCCATCTATCTCTAGGTCATTCAAAAATATGTTGAAAAGATATGGGCCACTGACACTTCCCTGTGTTGTTCCCTTGTTAACAATTTTCCACTGGCATGTCAAATTATTAAAAATCACCCTTTGTTTTCTACCTTCGAGAAAGTTGGCATACCAGTTAACAATGAATGAATCAAGTGGACTATGTTTCAGCTTTTCAACTAGAAGATTGTGTTTAACGTTATCAAAGGCTTTAGAGAAATCCATCGTAAACATTCTCAGCGCCACGGTGTCCCGTTTATCCAGTGCCGCAAGAAATGTATGTTGCATTTTCAACAGAGCGTTTACACAACTTCCACCTGAGCGGTAAGCAAATTGAGAATTATTCAGATATTCCTCCAGGCCCCTTTTGTTAAAAATGTTATACACTATTCTTTCAAACGTTCTGGCAATAACTGGAGTAACATTGATTCCTCTAAAGTCCGCATAATCGACTGGTGTCTCGACTTTGGGGAGTGGATTGATGTTAGCCTCCTTCCAACGACTTGGCCAGATCTGCCGAGCAAGAGATAAGTTCCATAAATTCTCAATCACTGGGGTAAATATCTCAGCATAATCTTTCCATATCCAGAAAGGAATCCCATCAGGTCCGGTGGCAGTACGCTTTATTCGCGATAAGGCAAGAAACACTTGAAATGTAGATAGTTGTGGAGCAGGGGTGTTCACATCAATCTCGGCAGGAACTGGTTTAGAATATTCCCTATCAAAGAAAATGTCGCCGAAAAAATCATTTAAACCAATGATGAAATCTTTATCTGGATCGGAGCTGCACTTGTCTTTACGCATGGACGGTCGATCAACCTTCCTCCACCAGGCTCGCGATCCAAGTTTCCCAGACGCTAAAGCTCGGCGATTTTCAGCTATTAGTCGTCCTATCTTCTCCGTCAGTTCAGTTAGGTCTCTCCCGCCGCCTTTTCGAGATCTTGTTTTTTTCTTCTTCAGGAGCGATTTCACTAAGGGACTCATCCACGGAGGGTCTCTAGAAGACATTCGAATCGATTTTCTTGGAAAACATTCGTTCATTAATTTCTCTAAAGTGGAGTGAAGCGAGTTCACCGCGATATCGAGGTCAAAGTTATCATTAACGTGATTCCAGTCTTGTTCGAGGAGCTTACGATGAAACATTATTTTGCGATGCTCTCGGTAATCACGCATTGTGCAACTAAATCTCAAGGGCTTCAGTCTCACACCTGCTGGTAAAATTACACCTTCATGGTCTGTTTTCATTTGGGCGACAATAGGATAACACCTAGAAAAGAGAGCTTCATTGTTAGTCAAGCAATTGTCCAAAACAGAATTGCCTCGAGTTGGAAAGTCAACCAGCGCTTTTAAACCAGATAAATTCGAAAGCTTTTCCAAGTCAAGCCGGTTGAGGTCTCCTCCACATAGCACTAGTCCACTCGGATGACACTCGAGAAACTGATCTACAATGTCCGTGATATAATCAATTAAGTCGTCTTCCTGGTATTTAAATCTTGGTGGATGATAAATACCACACATCAACATATGATGGCCCGATGGTAATTCAATTTCCAGACTGATGGACTCAAACAACTCTGATCTCGAAACCGATTTCACTTTTACGTTTTTCCTCACATAAATCGCTACGCCTCCTTTCTCTCGCTTGTCATTGTCAAACCAGTTTCGATCCCTTCTGTGGATAGTATAATTGGATATAGCTACAACCGAGTCCGGCACGATCCTTTTTAAATGTGTTTCGGAAACAATGCAGATGTCGATATCATTCGTAAATAGATCAGCTTCAAGTGCCAAATTGGCTTTAATTCCATTCCGTGTCTTAGTCAAGCTGCAGATATTTAGAAACATGCATTTGGGGACCGCATATTTATCTTCGGTAGTGGAATTAGTGCTTGAGTTCCTGATTTGAGAACGTTTAATTCTTGTTAAGTTGTTGTG